GGAACGAAGGAACGCCGCCGTTCCATTTTGCATCGCTGGAACTAGAACGGGAACGCGTTACATTTTCACTGGAACGGAAAGAGTAACGGCGTTCCCTTTTCTCGTCCAGTGGGGTAAATTTTATTTTGTTTCGAACAGGGAAATTTTGAAAGTACAAAAACAATATCTCTACAAAAGTGCAGGATTTCGTTACATTTTCGCCTACTAATCTTGTGGATTCTTTTGTGTGGTCCTCGCTTGCTAACAGTTTCGGGTGCAGGAGAGCTGGTGGACATTGATTCTTTTTTGAGTGCCCGAAACTGCGGTACAAAAAGCAAGGCTTTTAGTCGTAGGAAAAGACAGAGAAAGAGGGTTGTTTCCAGCTCAGCTACTTTCTTTGGTTCCACGAATCCTCATACACCCAGAAATCTAAAGCCGACTACAGCCACTTGTGAACTTCCATAACGAAACCTACAGTTACAACAAGACCACAGACTGCCAGGCATCAAGCGCACCCTTGTGTCCCGAACATAGGTCACTTAAAAGATAATAAAAAAAATATATTTCTTGTCTTTTCCCCCTCACCTTCAAAATGAACAACAAAGCCAACCTTGCAAAGAAGTATTTGTAGTTTTTAAGACTGACCTTCCAAAATGCTTCTGGTCAAGAGATCCAACGAGTCAAAAGATCCAACGAGTCAAGAGGTCCAATACTGGATCTTTTGACTCGTTGGACCTCTTGACTCGGAATCCTTCCAAAAGCCCTACCCTCTCCTCGACTTGCTCGTCTTGCGGACAGCAACATCGAGAAGCAACTGTTTTTAAGTTCGTATAAGGGACTTCGCTCAATTGAAACGTGTGAGGTTGCTGTAAAACGCTCGTACAATGTTGGGTAAAAGTACATTCGGCTCGTCTAAATCGTCCACTACAAACATGAATATGGTTAAAAGCTGAGATTTTTAACTTGAATATATCAGCAAATGAAACCCTGCTTCCGCTTGTTTTCTTCTCCTGTTGCCCTTCCATAACGACATACAAACTCGTATGTTGACTACTAATGGGATCGATAAAAAACAAACAAAAAATTCTGCTTGATGAAACTAAATATAGTAATTAGCAAAATACAAATGTAACGTATATGTAACGATACGTTCCATTTTTTTTAAACTAACGGGAACGAGTTTCTTTTTCACAGATGTAACTTGTAACGGGAACGCGTTCCAAAAAATCAGAAGGAACGAGGAACAAGCTTTCATTCCTTTTTTTTTTTTTTAAGAAACGTGTACAACACTGGTTTCTCGTGACCACCACCAGGGTATTATTTCCGGCTTCTGGTTGGCCACATTCGAATTTGTGTAGACGCCCTGGAACACGCTTTCGGCCAATAGGGTCACCTATTTGCCTTCTATACTTCCCAATGAATGGCCAAACTCTCCGTATATACGGTTTTGGGGCAGCTGGTCGGCAAAGGATGTCCGACACGGCTTCCTTGCAAGCGACCAACTTGACCACTTCGTCCTTACCTCAACGCACTCCACCAGATCATCCGGGCAGCCGTCTGCGAGGAGCTCACATGTCGCACACTGGTGGTGTAAGCTCCCTTCACGTCGGATAGGACAAGCACCATCGCCGGGCTAGTCAAGCCCGACGCCATGGCCTGGCCAACGTGCAATGGTGGACGTCACATATCTCTTCGTGGCGCCTGGGTCAGTCCTAAATCGAGGGGTGTCGCTTTCCGCCTGGAAGCCGAGAAAATAAGTGCCACCCGGCGATGCCACCATTGCACGTTGGCCATGGTGTCAGGCTTGACTAGCACGGCGTCATGCATGCCTACATACATGCATACACACATACTTGCATACGTGCAGACATACATACAGGCATGTATCTGTGTACATGTATGCATGTACACTCGTCATCAAATCTGTCAGAGCGCGGGAACGGTGCGCTGAATACTGCGCGTGCAACATCTGCCGGCGGGCGCTGGGTTAGGAATCGGCGCGCCTCTGAACATGCGCCGCCAGTGTGCAGCGCTGGGAGGATGCCACTGTTTGTGCTGACTCTTGCGCAGTCTCCGGAGGCCGCCAGGGGAGCGCTCGGCGCTTCTAGGCTGCGAAATCAAGGCGCTCGGTGTGGCGGTCCACGGGCCACAGGCCCCGCATTATTGCGCGTTCTTTCGTGAGGAACTTCATTCGCTGAACTCTCGTGCGCTTAACATACAAGCAACACTTTTTTTTTTTTTTGCTGGCCTTCTCTCTCTTTCTTGCTTGCTTCCGTTCTCGCGCGAAACCGCTCATGGTGTGTGCGGAAAGCTGCGCATTTTGTTTGCGTGTAATATTTCCTCGCCGCTATCAACTGATGTGCTCGTTATCTCTCCACTTTCGATCAATTTCTGTAACAATGAGAACAGGACCGCGGCTTACCTTGTGATTCCGCGGTAATGAACGTGGGTCGGACTCTAAAATTATTCTGTTCCTTAAAGCTTCCCGCCACTTGTGCAATTAGCACCATGCTATGACGCTACCCATTGAAATATTTGATGTCTGATTGAATCTTCCCATATATAGGGTGTCCCAAGTCACCAGGCTCGATCTAAAATGGAGCGTGAAAATCGACACCTACACGTAGCAATCTAAACTTTTCGTCAAAGGTGTATTTCACTGGTCGTTTTTTATGTAAAATCAGAAAGCGTAGCTCCCTTTCTGTAAAAAGAAAAAAAAATAGGGCCAAGAAACTTGCCAGGGTCAACGGTAGGTAGCGAAGTAGACAATCAAGTCGAGTGGCGGTGCGCGTTTGGCGCTCGTATTGATAAATGGCGCTACCTCCTTATCAAGACTCACGAGATGGCAAAATTACTTTCGAAAAGCAATTAAAAAACATTACTACTTACTTTTTTGAAAACTGCCAAAATATAATTAAATTACATAAATAAATTACCGCAAACTAAACGTAATGGCATTGCATTACAATTACTTTCTGGAAGTAATGAAATTACTTTGACATTACTTTTCAATAGCTTGGAACAGTAATTCGTGCTCATTTTATCTACAGTATATGTCTCAAAACTCAGACCGTCCTGTTTACACCGCAACCGCCTTATGCGCCTCAAAGTGAACCGTACTGAGCATGACATAAACCCTGAGTCTGCAGGCAAAAAACGACACGAACACTACAAGATCTTGAATACAACTTTTAGTGTTCATGTCGTTTTCTTTTTTGCGTGTAGTCTTGGGATTTATGTCATGTCACATGTCATGTCATGTCACACAAGGGGGCTGGATATTCGCTAGGCATTAGTGTCGCCGGTTGCGGAAAGGAATGCGCGAGCTTCCTACAATATGTACTTTCCCAACAAACGGGTGGCGATATCTACTCGTATAGTCCTATTCCCGAATAAACTTCCCAATGAAAGACCGCGAGGAATACCGCGAGCCGCACCAGCGTTCTGGAGTCTTGACAAGGCCTCTGTGATTAACTATTTATTCCGGTCATTCGTTGTTCACAATGGTTGGAGCTTACGGTTTGACCTTGCTTGACGAACGAACAAGAAGTCTGGGAATCTGTGTGTCCTGTCCTCTCAGGTTTTAAAATGTATCGACCTCACTGGTGATGTGCCCTTCGCCTTGTAGCCTGCCACCCGTTCATCCCTAAGCTGACAGTTCAGTAGAAGCAACGTGCTCGTTGTGACAGTCACAGGTGTATCTTTCTCCACGTAACCACGCTTTCGTTTATATCCCTGCGCAGAAAAAGGGACGGGTCCGGTAATCAAAGGAAGGTAATTGATTGGTCTGGTGATCTAGTAGCTCCCACCACACTGTCAGCTTAGGGATGAACAAAGTATATCGTCCGTGTCACTAGTTGCGTGCAGTGCAGACGAATACGCCAGGCGAGGGGAGAAAGGGCAAGCACTAAGAAGGCTGGGGACGAGGAGAGAAACCTCCTCTCCTCTCTACCGTTGCTAGTGCTCTCCCTTTCTTCCCTCGCCATCCATTACCCTCCTCTCCCGTCCCGCCTTTCTAGTGCTCGCCCTTTCTCTCTTCGCCTGTCGTTGCCTTCGACTGCACTGCACGCAACTAGTGACACGTAGTATAGTATCGTCGTGATGACGTGACGCCGTAAATCTGTCTTGCCTGTGGCGTTCCAGCCATGTCTTTACGCGTAAGGTTTTCTCCTTCGCCTTTCCAGCTCGGCTTTGTCTGTCTGCCTAGTTCTCTGTACGAGGCTTTGCGCTCAGATGGCCGTCATTTATTTGTTTTGTTCCCTCTTCCACGGCATTTCACCATGCAAATTATCTTTTGTTTCACAGCTCCCAGGCGAACTATCTCATTTTGGATAAAAGTAATTTCTAAAGTAATGAGTAATTGTCTCGAAATTACTGCATGAAAGTAAGTCATTACGTTACCAGATTACCAGCCTAGAAAAGTAATTCAGTTAATTACTCATTGCCACAAAAAGTAATTTAATTACTTTTTTTCATTACAGTAACGTCATTACTGCAATCTCTGTCGAGACTGCTCGCGACCACCGTGGTTTATTAAAATGAACATAATCTTTTTGTAATGTACCTTTGGTTTAAAAATAAATGCAGGCAATAAAATGAAGTAAAAAAAACGTGTTTCCATAACGACACTGCTTTTGCTGCCAACAGACTTAGTCCGCGAACCGTCTGCTTTTTTTCGGTGGTCGGCTACACCTTCGCTCCCGACGCCATCTATCAACACGCGAGCCAAACACACCCCGCCACGCGACTCGGTTGTCGGCGTCGCCGCCCGCCGTTGACCCTAGCAAGATCGTTGGCCCTATTTGTTTACAGAAAGAGAGCTCGCTTTGTAATTTTACAAGATAAAACCTACCTGTGAAATTCACCTTCGACGAAAAATTCAGATTGCTACGTGCAGGCGTCGATTTTTACGGACCATTTTAGATCGAGCCTGGTGACTGGGACACCCTATATAACCGCTCTGCGAAATGCTCACGCATTTCTTTGAGAATCAGCGTGGCGGCCGCAGCGATTTCGGTCCGTTTTTTTATAACCGTAAAAGATGAGACTGTAGATTTTCATAGGATCTGGAGGGCGGCTGAATTTTTTTATGCGTCTGGGAGTTTGGCTATTTTTAACTATCGACGTTTCTTGAAATAACACTTGTCTTCAAGACTTGTCCTGGTGGCGTCAATGGCAAATGCAGCTGCAGAAATGGATTTCGATACCAGTGATTTCTTTTTATGAATTTAGGGTACGTTTTTGTCTGGATATTATATTTATTTTGGAAACAAAAATTAAGGACAGAGTAAAACTAAACTCCGAATTTAAAATAATTGGTTATATATAAAAAAATAAACTCCAAAAAGCACACTCCAAATTCACAAAAAAAAAAAAAAAACCGAAAACACGAAGTTTTAGTTATAGATCACGGACTGGCACAGCGGTCACTCCTGCCCACCATTAACTATGTCGACCGGATGCCAGAACTGCCCTTCCGGGGGCCACGCAACGGTGCTATGAGACTGGCCTCGCTACCCAGTATCATCACGCATGGTAGCGGCTCTAAAGATACGTTTATACTTCAACGTAACGTCAATGGGCGCGGCGTGGCGCAGCGCACACTGATCCCGATTGGTCGCAGATATCGAGTTCCTGGTCGTCAGCCAATAAAAGGCGCGCGTTCTGCGCCACGCTGCGTTCACTTCGCTCATCGTCGGAGTATAAACAGCCCTTAATAAGGCAGTGCGAGACGACCACCATGCATTGAGTGGACAATTCTCAATGCAGAACATTAGATCTGCCGTCATGGAAAGATTCCTCTCGGATAAACGGGACAACTATAGGACCAGAGGTCTCGATACTGACCTCTTCTCCACCACCGCTGAGAACATCGCTTCGTGTGCCATTCCCAGGCACGTAGCTCAAGGTGCTCAAGCGTGTGATCAATGGAGCAAGAGTCGTTTGATAGATTCCACTTCCGTTTTAAGATCGGAACAGTACTAAGCCAGATGAAATGTCCCGGTAGTCAACAGAACTGAAGAATTTGTCCAAAATCCCACGCAAGATTATTCCGGAGAAGAACCTTACCCGCAAGAAGCCATCAAATACACCGCCAACATAACAGATGTCAGCTGCCGCCCAGAGAGGTCGATGACTTAAGTGAATAGTGTATTACACAGCCCGCTAATACAGAGTTCGAACCAAATAGGGCAGTGTAGAGGATATGAGTTCTTAGTTTGTGAATCGAGGTAAACGAGCAAATTCTTGGCGCAAACTTCTCGTGTTGTGGCCAAATGCAGCAAGCTGAGCCCTTTGGCGCAATTCGGAGCCACAATCGCATTACCACATAACCTGTTTTTCCGTTCATAAAGATAGCAGACGATAGGGACGATTTTCCAACGTGACTGCATACAGTTTTCGAAAAGTGCGAATCAGTGACTACGCCGAAGCTTGACAAGCAACGTGGGTACCGGTGAACACAATTGTTTTACCCTCTAAACTGCAGAGGAGTGAATACATAAAATAGAAACGAGTGTGAACGTTAAATAGTAGTGCTCGTTGCACTCGACATGCAGATCCATTACAGCTCTCAACAAAACAAAAAAACAAAAAAACTCTCCTATCTAAAAAAAAACACTCTATCATTAAGTATCTTAATCAATCCATCGTTCTAGCACCACCAAGCAGACTCGATTGTCGTTGAGTCGGCGGTTATCGTAGTTACTATGAGCGCTGCTCGCCGATGGCCATTGGGCGGCCTCCAACCGACACCACTCGGGTCTGCAGGCGGTGTCCATAAGCTGCTCTCTCCAGTGTCCTCGCGGCTGCTGCTCGTGACACTTGGAGCAATGCGATCGTTCCTCCTAGGAGACCTACTAGGAGTATCACATCTGCCAGCCCTTCTCATACTAACTTCATTCCTATTTTCGTCGCTTGTTCGACTACTAGTGGCTCTGCTAATAGTAGTCCTGCTACTACTACTCTCGCTATCGCTGCTGCGACTGTGGCTGCAAGAGGCGTCGTCTTCCGAAGACGGAGAAGAGCTCGTGGATGCCAGTCGCCCGGAATATCCGTTGGCGGGTCCCGTTCCAGCGCTCGTTTCCAGACGGGACTTGAGGGCCATCAGCTCCTTCTTTTCGTCAAAGTAGTCCCGGTAGTCGAGGAACTTTTCCTTGTCGAAGTTTTCACGCTTGATCCGAAGACTTGCACCGCTGTAGAACTGGCTGTCGCTGACACGGTCGTCGTAGCCTTCGTGGAACTTGGCGTCGGCTGTCGCCCAAGCCACTCTCCGAAGGATCTCCTGCTTCTGCTCCTCGTCGCGCTTTGCGTTCCTCGTGGCCATTTCAAGTTCCCTGGCTTCCCAGTGCCGAAGGCGCTCTTGGTAGCTCGCTCGGTTGAAGGGCTTCCACTGCTGCTGCCTCAGGTGTGGACGAAGCTTGTTCGGGGTAGAACCCTTAGGGAGTGACGGTACGGCATCTTGATTGGCAGTATCATGTAGTTCTCGCTGGGGATGATGATGAAGACGTTCATTTTCTTGTCCCGGATGTCTTCCTTCTTGATCCCGATTATTATGTTTATGTTGTCTTTCCGTGTTGCCGGGTGGGAGCCTCGTTCTTTGTCTTTCATCGCTCTGCACATGAAACGAACGAGAACGAATTATGTCAAATAAGAAATCAGATCCCGCTGTTATTCTGAGCATCGTTGTGAGTTCAATCTGTGGGCCAACTGAGGGCTCACACTAATACAGCTTCTGAAGAAAAGGCTGAATTCAGCAGCACACAATGCCTAATATATTCTGTCAAGTTCAACCAACTGGTATTTGGTCGTTTAATCACTCCTTCCTGATGCAAGTGAAATGCCTCAAATTAGCAGGCAAACTCCGCTGGTGAAAGTGCCCACCTCCTCCTTTATCTCCTCGTTTTATCTGACCGCCCTTCGCTCTCGCTGGCGGATTCAGCTCGGCATATGAGAATGAGATTATCGCGGCTGTTTTCGTCAGCGCATAAAGGGCATCTGTGTTTTCAATTTATATCTCAAGTGTAAGAAAACTTACCGCCGATCGAGGAGCTGAAAGTTTTGTTTAGCGCGATGGTTAGGTGAGCTGACATTAATTAGAAGCGACTGGTGGCTTTTTAGTGCGTCTGTTGACTAAATAGAATACAAGTCCTGCGTATGACGTCATCATTAGTGGAACTAATGGCGAATTCCACTGGGCGTTGTGTTACGCGCCGGGATCAGTTTACCAAATCCGGACTGGAGCACACGATCCGAACGGGGTCGCGCCGCCTACGGATCCCCAGTGGAACATGACCACTGCTCCAGGATCGGCGAATGCCTTCCCGTCATTCTACTGCCCGGAAATCCCCTTTCCGCAGCCGCCGCGGTCGTTTCGAAGACGTTTTCGCAATCGCGGCGCTAACACGTGTTCGACGCACGAGCTGCAGGAATGGCTCAGGCGCTTCTACCAAAGATTGCCGGAATGCCCGTAGCGCGGCAAATACCTTCTTTTCTCCTTCCTGGAAAACGAACCGGCTGTCGAGCCAAGGGGTAAGCAAGCGGCCATTACAAATTCTTCTGATGTCAAGACAATCTAGGAGCCCAGCCCGCGACGTTTTTCTTCTTCTTCTGAGGCGAGATGGGCGAGATGTCCCACGAGAAAGGAAGTCACGTGTGTGCGCCGAGGGCTGGCCCGGCTGGCTTCCGGTTGAATCCGCCGAAATCGTGGGGCGACTTTTCTCGGATCCAGATCGAGATATGGAGCGGGAGCTAATCCAAAACGACCAGTGAAACACGTCGGTCTCGATCCCGATCGCCCAGTGAAATAGGCTCGCTCCAAAACAGTCGATCCCGGCGCGCTCCAAAACGACCTGTGGAATTCGCCATAAGCTCGAAGCGGCGCTCAACTTCGGCGAGAGTCGCCGCAAAGCCGCACACGCGCCCGTCTCGGCGACATCGCGTGCTAATCGCGGCGAGAAGTTTCGGCGTCGCCATCTAGCGGAAGCCCGGCAAAACACAAAGACATTGCAGCCGCTCTCGCATTGCCGTATTCCATGCAAGCTATATACATAGGTCCTCGGACAGTATTCGACGCTTTCTGTCGTTATTTGCGCATCCTATCACCAGCCAATGGTGTCCCGATGACTGGGGGACTGTCGCCATTCAAGTCCGTGGCTCTAATTAAGTTTGCGAATTTAAAACGGAGAAAAAAGCGCGAACGAAGTTCGGGCACTGCGGACACCCAACACCGGCCAAGACTCTCATCCGGGACTTTCACCCTTTCTAACGACCCAGCGAGGAAGAAAGCTCCGGTAGCCTTTCCCTTTTTCTCTCTCGTTCTCAAAATGGCGCTGTCCACGATAAAATGGTCTACGGAGGGAAATTTAGACCTTTTTTCGATCGCGTATGTGGTGCCACCGGCTACAGAACAACCACAAAGCGCTGCGTCCGAAAGCAAGCCATCACGCCGTAGCGCTACGAAAACCCGGCATCCTAACATTCCGGGCATCACGTGACATTCGCGTGCCGCTCAATGGCGCCCCCTAGCGTGGTTCTCGTCACGAATACACGGCTCACAAGTGTCGCCACTGCTGGGTACTGACGGTTACCGACCGATTCCTTCCAACTGCAATTTTTGCGGTGTGAAACCAACACACGGCGGACCGAGCGATACTGGCACGCCCGCGAATGACGTCACATGCAAGCTATGTATAGCGTCGCGTTCATTGCGAGGCGCTGCGATTCGCGCTTGCAGTGGCATAAGGTAGGCGGCGCCAAGAAGTGATTACTTTCGGGAGAAAGTGGGCATTGCGTTGCGTCCAGAGACGGCAGCGAGTCATCTTTGCTTCGCATCAAGCAAAAATTCGAGGCTTGGCACGCGCCGTACGAAGCGCGGCTGTCCTAATCATTGCGAGAATGTTTACAGACCATTGCAAGCATGGCGCCTCGCTGGTGCCTCATACGTGCAAGCATGTGCAGCGTGCGCATGAACGTAGCTTTGGCAAGCTCGCAATTGCACGTACTTGCCCGAACGAGCAGAGACATGGCGGCGGCTAGATGCCGTGACCTCCGCAAGTGGGAACCCCGCTTAACCTCGAACCGCGCGCCAAGCTGAGGCGGACCTACCCTCGGGCCAGGACGTTCGCTGCTCGTCGTACAATGTTGCCAAGCGTCCCTTGCAAAAGAGGATACATTTAAAAGAATACAAGAATAAAAAAACAAGAGAACGAACGTTTATTGTCTTTGGAAACGTTTTTAGCCCGTGCTACGTGGCTATTTTCATCCCAGTTAAAATCAAAAGGAAAACGTAAACTCTTCCAAAGAATGCAAACGGGAGGAACGTCAGGAGCCGCATGGCCATCACATCAACGATGACTGCGCTCGAGGCAGCGATGGCTTCTACGACGTGCTGGGGGGCTATGTTGCACGTTTTGGACTCCCAGGAGACTATAGGGAGAAGGAAGTGACGTCAACAACGCTCTTTGGATGTTGATTGGAAGAGTCGCTGATGACGGCATCTGCTAAGATACCTTCATTCACACCTACGTCACTTCCTTCTCCCTAGTCGCCTGAGAGTCCAAAGCGTGCAACATAGCCCCCCTGGAATAGAGGCCGCGATCGTCATAAGGTCAGCTCCAACCCTTAATTTGATGCCACGAGTGAGAGTGGATATCTCACCCTGCGTTTCGAAACAGTAACTGCGTCGCTAACGTCGGCCATCGGCGATGCAGCCGACGCCGCCATTTTGCCCTCGCCCAACTCAATGGCGTGCCCACCTCAACGTGGCGGAAACGTTGCGCGGCGCCAGCATCGTTCACAATGGCAGCGCACAGGAGCTTCTCTTGAAAACGTGTATACAACCTCAAGTTAGTCTGCTCCAACGCGCGCCTTGTCGCTCAGCTGTACATGAGCATTTAGCCAGTGTAGCCTGGGGTCTCTAACGTGCATCACCCAGTAGTGATTGCACGATCAAATACCAGTTGAGCATCGTACCGGCGTACGGTTGTCTATAGACAACCGTACGCCGGTACGATGTTCATCCTGATCGAAACGGGCAGGGGTGGGGATTGCACCCCGTGGCTGTCCTGGGTCCTTATGTTGCTCTTTTGGGACTCCCACGGCGACTAGGGAGAAGGAACTGATGTCAACAAAGCAGCAAACGCAAATTGGATGTTATGTATTAGGTTCCGTACTATGCCCCACTAAAACAGTATTAGTATATTCTTCGGGTTGAAATATGAGCTTAGTTGACTAGCTATTAGGTGAACTGCTGAATAAAAGTATATTTGACAGACAGAGAGATACTACTTAAACTTAGCCAAATGGTTCTAGCCAGCAGCACGGAGACAAACTGAAGATAGTCTTCACAGGAGATTCACGCAGAACCTCTCTGCATTGAACTTTGCTTCGAATCCTGAACGGAGAAAATGAGTATTTTTTGTGGCCGGTCAACCTGAGCAATGTAGACGTATATTGCTGCTGGCTTCGACGGGGGTAAAATATAAATATTGGAGGCGCGATAGATCAAAATGCCGTGACAGCTTCTAACGTTGCGAGACTCGTCCCCCACCTTTTGAAAACAGATAATTTCCCTCATTCATCATTTGCAGAGAGCAGGTTTTCCTGAAGCAAGTAATTGCGAAATCAGCCCAACTCATTCAGTGTGGTCTAGAGGCTTTTTCGGCGAAAAGCAGCCAAGATGAATAGCCAACGCACTGACCGGCGTGGGTGGCTCAAACTTGAAGCTAATCGAACACAACCAAACTCAAGAAAATTAGCTATCGAACCTTCCCATTCACTTGACTGCAACATTGGTGTTCCCTCCAGTGAAATGCCTCGTCTGTCGTCCACAGTCCACTGTTCTACATCCTTGTAAAGAAACCACTTGTCAGTTACCAAGCGGTTGTCACTTTGAATGTGATTCGAGACAGACAAGAAATCAAAACGTTTTTCCGTAATTCCTCCCCATCCAAGAAATCGAAAGCACGCGACCGTGTGTTGTGGAATAAACGGGCTTTCAAACACGTGATGGAAGGAAACAATCTACTGAGGCTTCACCACACTTTCGGACCTTCGTCAAATTACATTGTTCGCCACCGCGCCGACAACACGTGACCGCGAAAGCCACCAGAGACGCGGAGGGGCGCGGAGCGACCTGGTCCGGCTGGTTCCCGGTTTTCCCGCTTGGTGGCGTCCGTCTTGCTGGAGTCGCGAATAGAACGTCGGCAAAAAGGGCGAAAAAGATTAGTGGCGCCATCTCCACGTAGTTGCATCAATTAGAGGCGTACGCGTCAGTTGTCATATTAGCCACGAGATGGCGGCAGTAATTCCATAACTTTCAGACTGGTGCTGTCAGCGGAGGGTCGATGACAGCTGAACCAGCAACTATTTTGTTTCAAATTAGGCTCGTCAGATAAGCGCTGTCAACACGTTGCAACCGCACTGTTTCGCTCCGGCGGTGGCTTTTTAGCAGTTACATCTCAGTTTTTGCAAGTCACATACTGCGTTTAAAACTTGTGGTGAAACGAAGACAGACGAACAAGAGGGCTTTGAGCGTCCCCTGCCATTCGCCGATTTAGATTCGACTGAACGATACCTCCAATTTGGAAACAAATTGTCATATTAACCGGAGAATCGCAGTGCTCTGGCGTTCCACCGTTGAGGAAAGAAAACGTGCACCATCGATCTAAGCACGCGATTGTTTTGACACTGCGATCCGGCTTCGAGCACATGTTCGTTAGAATAAAAATCCGTGACACAGAAAGAACATTTGAGCTAGAAAAGGGATGTGAATAAGTTAAGGAGACTTACCCTCATCACCTCGATGCTATTGTTTTGGTAAAGGCGAATGACAGACCACGTAAAAACATCCAATGCGTCCCGCAGATTCTGTCGTCGGCGCCAACTGTGGTCGGCGCGGCGTTTTCCGCGTCTCTTGATAACGATGCCTTTTGGTGCGTAGTCGTCGAAGAGTTCTCGGACAAACCGAAACTCCAGCTCCAGTGATTATCGGAGCAGTCGAACCAAAACTTTTATCAGGTCTGTTCGATTCGGCCAGAAAGTTCTGAAATTGTCCTGTCCGAGTTTAGAGGAGTACTGGAGTCGTGCAGGCGGCGGTGCAGAACCAGTGCAGCCGCCGAGCTAGGACTGGCGCTGTGATCGGCGTTCCGAGCTGAAGTGCAGGATGTCGTCTGCATCTGTTGGCTCTTGTTTCTCCACGCCACGTTGTACGCTACATTTAATTAGTCGCGGTTTGATGAGAACATTCGTGTTTCCTTAGTTCTAAAGTATAATAAAGGAATATTTTCTGTGTATATTTTTTATTCGAGTGTACTAAAAACGTTTTCTGCGCGAAATGTTTCTGTGTGCATTTTTAACGGCCGTTCGGTTCCTGTCGTTTCCATAAGCGTTCGTGTCCTTCACATTCATTTAGCAATAGTAGATTCATTCCAAGTCTTTGAGTTTCGCATTTCGACGACAGGTTCGCGGCATCAGGAAGATTTCGCGTCGGGAGCCACTGGCGGCAGCGCGCGGTCGATAGCGGTCACCTAGAAGACGAAGGCCTGACGATAGCGTTTTGGCCAAGACCAGGCACGTAGCCAGGGGGGCGGCCCATGAGGCCCGCCTCCCCCCCCCCCCCCCCCCCCCCCCCCGTTATCTTCCATTTTGCTGGGACCTCCTCTCCCCCTCCACCTCATACAGCATTTTGTCATGGGCGGGCCCCCCTTCCCCCCTTCGAAACAAAATCCTGACTACGTGCCTGGCCAAGACAGTTATTGACCGCAATTTTGGCGTCAAGCTGAAGCGTTTAAAGACCTGCGTGGAACTACCAAGCCAATGCCGATTCTTGGCGTTTTTCCCAGGCCCGTTAGTGGGCGTCCACATATACCGGCGGACAAAGCATGCAGTATTATGCTCAGCTAGGGGGCATGCGAGGGCCAATGTACTAAATCCCAGACCTCTGCAATGCATCGGAGTCGTCAGTATGCATTGAAGAGCAACTGAAGGCAGGGACTATCAAGAGTGCAATACCTTTCCCGTGTCTGTAAGGAAGAATATCAACACTGTTGATCCTCACATACCATCAAAAAGAAATAATTTACGTCAGCCAACATTTCAACACTTACCACAGGGAGCCAAACCTTTACTAGCAGGTGCCTAAACCGCGTTCAGAATATCATAATCAAGCAAATTCCTACCCTCGGTTATTATCTCAATTCCGCGTCCACCGCGGCTATGTTAGTATCATAAATGAGAGGAAATACAACCTCCGTATCGGCGTTATTGTTAAACATCGTAGACGTTTGAGCAAGAGCCGCGAAAAATGGCACCGCGAGCAGAGACAGACGAGGAGTGTCGACTGCTATCGCCGTCTGCTCTTGTCGTCTGCTTCTGCGCCGACGCTAAACTGACTCCGGAGCCGGTGCAAGATTTTGAGGAACTGGGTCTGAACTCGTTCATAACTGGGATGAATCGAACGCGCCAGTGCAGCGGCCGTGCAACTTTCGGTTTAATCGAATGCACCAGTTCCTGCACTGCTGAGCTAGTTCAGCCAGTTCAGGCGAATCGAACAGACCTTTCGTTTCGGTTCGGGTTTGGGCTCACGGCTTGCGGTTGAGTTCCGGTTCACTTCCGGCGAGCAAAAATAACGGTTCGAACCGGCTTGAACCGCTAAACTGAGAATATATTTTCCGCGTTGTTTCGGTTACAGGCACTACTTCTGCAGTGAGACAAGTAATTGGGTGTATAGTATTTTACGTTCGTACAATTCCCATTTATTTGCAGGTACCAGAAATAAGAAATTGCCTTGTTAATTTCGACGCAGCGGTGAAAGAAAGTCTAGAATTACATAGAAAACGCCGTGTTTATACGAATCAACGTCCAGTTGTTTACCTCAGTCACATATATTTTACCTGAATTGAAAGGTTGTCACGAAGTTTGGCAGATCTCATAAAATACCCGTGATTGGTACACCTTTGCGTAACAGTATGCCAAAAGTTGAATCGCGACCGTGCTCTTAAACTAAAAATTTAATTTTCATCCCCTAAAATAATAAAATGGGCGCCTGGTCACCGTGTGTACCATGAACATGGTTTACCAAATACGTTTTACTATATAAATATGAAGACGACACAAATGAGCTAAAAGCAATAATACTTTCGAAATGTCAGGGAAGTTTTAGGAAAAGGCGTTTCAGTCTACTTTTTTGTGGACACACTGAGCGGCAATCAGAACATAGCCTGGCGATTGAGGCAAGTTTTTGAAAAGATGCCGGTAAATTTAATTTGCATATATACATCTCGCTTGCTAATGATGATTTTTGTTACACAAAAGAAAGTAGTGTTGTATAGAAAAAAGTAGTTGATGGCAGCTACTTAATTGACCTCTTTCTGACGGTCTGCGTGCGTAATAGTCATAGTTCTGCCACGCACCCCTTTCTATTTTGTATTTGTCCTGCACAAAGACACATAAAATTGCTGTTAATCACATAAAAAAGTCAATAATAGACCTCTATATGCTTTGAAATGTATTTATGTGTCAGGAACACATAGTTATTTAAATCAGCTTCAAAATCAGAAATTTGTTTGAGGCTCTCTCCAATCACTGATACGCGTGCCTATCGAGGATAAAAACAGCGGAAAAGATTTGTAAAGCGTCTTTCAGATAATTTGGGGGGGTGCATTTACTTATGATGGATAGGATGTCGCTAAGGTGATCAGTCCTTTGCTTTTGTGGTCAAATATTCGGTAAAAAATTAAATATATCTTTATTAGCATACATAAAATTGATTGCACGAAGTTCACATAACCGCTTCAGACCGACACGTGAGGACGATACTCAAAAATACGCCAGCTATTAAGCCCATGTGCGAAAACATGTTTTTTGTTCGCTGTTTGCAGTATGAAACACTTTGCGGGGTATGCCAAGAAGTACAGTGTGCTCACATGATGAATGTGAAGGTAACCACACGAAATGTGTAGAAAGCGAGAGACAATGAATACTGGAGAGCCTACCCCCCCCCCCCCCTTTCCCCTTTTCTTTTTTTTTTTTTTCTTCTTTCTTCGTTGCTTTTGAAGATATGTTTTTTTTCTTGAGGAACTTCTTCCTTTCATTGAAGTGTGGATTCGACAATTATGCTGTGTCACTTGTTAACAGTAATCCTCCAATGTTTTTAGTTTGCACACACAAAAAAAGTAAAATTTATAAACAAAATAGGCATGTGGTCGAAGCTTGCCGAAGAACTTGAGAACGACACTCGTGTGAGACTTGGAGCGGCTGCCAACGTTCAGCTGTCCCTCTGAGGCCACTAGGATTGTTTTTTTCAGGTATCACTCCCGTACACACTTGTACTTCTATGAAAGGACACATTTAGTTCTTCCAGTGTTTCTATCTTTCCGGACAACTTTCTGCGGCACTTTAGCAACAACGGAAACAGGGTGGGGTGCCTCACGGATGAGTACGTGTAAAATGAGTCGTTCAACAATTTTCGTACTTTCCGTATATACCACAAAGTAATACCTGGCGTTTATAACTTGCAAAAACATCTATCAGTTTACCTCTCCACGGAATGGCAGACGCAACAAAAATCAAGGAAAGGAACAGCTTTCTCCTCATCAACTCGCAATCAGAACAAGCGGTCAAGTGATCTGACGCTCAGCATACACGGTCAGTGTTCATCACAGTTATGAGCTGGGGTTAGCAAAATGTAGAGCACGGGCTAAGATTCAGACATTGTTTGTGTTCGTCTACTCTCGTCACCGATGAACGCGAGCACTCGACTCTGGCTCATGACAATCGAGTACCTTAGGGTGTCACGTGACTCGCGGTGCGAAGTCGCGGTGTCAGGTGACGCTCCGGTGTAAACAATGCTAATAAATCTACCGATGTCCTCAATAAAAATTGACTCGACGCAGCGAGTCACGTGACGTAGTCACGTGATGTTACCGCGCCACGTGACGTGCCATCACCTGACAGCATGTCTCGACACCATGATGTCCCGTGATCACGTGCCACATGATTAATTATAGTGCCAATACAAAAGCTCCACGAAAACCCACATTTTTCGCATAGGTTGCAATTCTGTACTTCAAGATTTGATAATACATACAAATACAGCGGCTATTTTTTATTCCCAAATATTTATTTTGTGATACTAACAAAACAAGCGAAGAAACTACCTGAACCGTTTTGAACCAGTTACTGTTATAATTTTTTCGGTTCTATTCCCAGAAGAAGAAAAAAACGGAAGTAAAAGGGGGGTAAGGTTGAAGCTTGATGGTTGGTCAGGCTGTTCAAAAGGACAGCGACCTCCAGGACACCAGGAAAACCATTGTTCATGATCTGAATGGCTAACACTTTTCCCGGTGACCATGTCAGTGTTCTTTACATTCTTTCGCCTGGGCCGCATCCAACACGTCGCCGGACTCAGACCTCAGGGGTACTGGTCAATGAATTGCGGTATTGCCGTTCTTTCTCCGATGGGGCCACTGACGGAGCATCCTGATGCATACACCTCCTTTTTTCATAATCATGTGCGGTTTGTAAATTTCTTTACTTTTTTTTTTCTCTCTCAAACGCTGTCACACTTTTGTGCTTTTGAACAATAGCGTTCAATGGCAGTCCCGAACGTGCACCGTTCGGGACTGCGAGATCATGCTTCCTCAATCTGTCATTGATGCAACGACCCGACTGCCTCACATAGACTTTTCCAGATGAAAAGGGCATTTCGTAGACTACTCCGCTGAAGCAGTCCACATAATTGTGTTGATGATTTACCTTGCATCCAATATTTTCTTCTGTTTTGTTGTTTATTTTCGGGCAAAGTCTTCTGAGTTTATCGGGTGCCGAAAATGTTACCTGGAGCTCGTACTTTGAGGCTACACTCTTAGAAAAAAGGGTCAGTATAGTTTTCCCTAAAGGGAGGAACGCTCTTTACACATATGTTCCTTCAGAAAGGGAGAAACTTTCGTCCCTTAGCAGGGGAGGAAAAGTTCCTCCGTCGACTGCATCTCATTATGCCGGCCACGA